TGCCCTGATGGCTGCAGGGCAGGTCTGGCTTCACCGCTGCTTTCCCGGCCGCGTGGACTGGGATGCGGGCGTCCACGAGCCGCTGGCCGAGCACTGGCTGCTGGATTTGCTCGTTTACACACTCACACCTGTGGCACCGAGTGCCGTCCACTCTCGCTTACAGACGGGAGGCTGAGGCACAGGGGAGTCGAGTCACTGGCTCCGAGTCAGTGAGTCAAACGCAGAACTTGAACCTGGGCGTTTGCCGGGAGCCAGAGCTGTAGTGTGTCTCCGCTCAGCTCCTGCCAGCACGCATCTGGGGGGCTGGGCCTTTGCGTCCCTCGGACTATTCATCCCCTTGCTGACCTCACCCTCCCAGGAAACACCCCCACCTGAGGTCGGCACTCCCGACTGCCCTGCTGGGAACCACACGTGGAACCTAACAAAATTTTCACTGTCTTTACCCTGCACACGCGGGGAGGACCGCTTCTTCTCCGTGAGCAGTGCCTTTCCTTCCTCTCCCGGCTCCGCCTAAAACATTAGTGACTGTCCACGACTGTAGGCGTCCCGCGGGGGTGTGCCAGGCACTGTGATGGAGACAATGCCACGGGGAGGGACCGGTCATCCCGTCTGCAGACCTGAGAGCCCGGCTGGAGGTCTCCCTCGGCACAGAGCTCATTCACCCGGCTCCTCTGACTCCACAGCCACTGACCACAGCGGGGTCCCCCCCACCTCACCTAACATACAGAGGGGGATCCCCCCCACCTCACCTAACATACAGAGCGGGGTCCCCACCCCCTCACCTAACATACAGAGCAGGATCCCCCCCACCTCACCTCACCTAACATACAGAGCGGGGTCCCCCCCCACTTACCTTCTTACCTGATGTACAGAGCCTTGAGGTGCTGGGAGAGTAAACAGCAAAAAGGAGGCAGGGAGGGTGGGACATGAGGAAGCAGGATTGTCCTCCTCTCCTACAGTGAAGCTCAGCCGCTCAGAACGGGCTCTGCACCCCCTGCCTCTCTGCACCCCTTGCCTCTCTGCACCCCCTGCCTCTCTGCATCCTTGTGCCTCTCTGCACCCTTCCCCGCACTCTGCACCCCCCTGCCTCTCTGCACCCTTCCCTGCACTCTGCACCCCCCTGCCTCTCTGCACCCTTCCCTGCACTCTGCACCCCCCTGCCTCTCTGCACCCTTCCCTGCACTCTGCACCCCCCTGCCTCTCTGCACCCTTCCCTGCACTCTGCACCCCCCTGCCTCTCTGCACCCTTCCCTGCACTCTGCACCCCCCTGCCTCTCTGCACCCTTCCCTGCACTCTGCACCCCCCTGCCTCTCTGCACCCTTCCCTGCACTCTGCACCCCCCTGCCTCTCTGCACCCTTCCCTGCACTCTGCACCCCCCTGCCTCTCTGCACCCTTCCCTGCACTCTGCACCCCCCTGCCTCTCTGCACCCTTCCCTGCACTCTGCACCCCCCTGCCTCTCTGCACCCTTCCCTGCACTCTGCACCCCCCTGCCTCTCTGCACCCTTCCCTGCACTCTGCACCCCCCTGCCTCTCTGCACCCTTCCCCGCACTCTGCACCCCCCTGCCTCTCTGCACCCTTCCCTGCACTCTGCACCCCCCTGCCTCTCTGCACCCTTCCCCGCACTCTGCACCCCCCTGCCTCTCTGCACACCCGTGCCTCTCTGCACCCTTCCCGCACTCCCCGGAATGGCTCAGGTAGAGGCAGCTGGTTTTCACTCTGGACAGTGCCCTCGAGCAAGGAGCTGTGCTTACGCTGTCTTGTAAGTGCACATCTATCTCTATATATAAAAAGCCTGTGTCCGTGACGATCAGGACGACCAGACGACCAGTCACCATGAGGTGCTAGCATAAAAACCGACCAATCAGAACCTAATCTGGGTGAACTGTGAAGGCAGTTTCTTCACTGAGCTTGTACTGTAAGAAGGTTAGGTCAGGGATGAGAATTAAAAATTGCCACCAGCACAGACCTGAGGTGCCGCTTCTCAGAGCAGCCAGAGATACACCCGGTAGCAGACTGGGGGCGTGATTGAAGGGCTGGCACCAATGTGAAGGCGGGGCCGTTCTGGATTTCCCAGAGGAGCCAATGGCTGCCTAGGAGGCGGAGCTTTTGACACTGACTGGCATAGAAACAGACCAATCGGAACTTAATCTGGGTGAACTGCGAAGGCAGAACCTAAGGTGGGGGCTGAGGAGGAGTTTTAAGGGCAAAAGCTGTTTGGTGTCAGCTTAAGAAAGCAGTTCAATTTTTTAATAACCGGTTTGGCAGTACAATGCATATGGCTGGCTATCAGTTCAGATATAGGGATTATGTATTTTTGTCTGCCAAGAGCATCTCCTCCTGCTGAAAAAGGCTCCCCCCCGCCCCCCATTTAAGCAATCTTATCCTATATAATCTATCTATACTACTAAAAGGGTAATGTGCTAATTAGACTGGGTTGACTGGCCATCTTCCGGATGTCCGACTTCCTTCCTGACAAAGCCACGGTGGTGGGGGTCAATCGGCTGGCAGGGGAGAGCAGTTAGGGGCGAGATCAGGCTGGCAGGGGGTTAGGGGCGATCAGGCTGGCAGGGGAGGGCAGTTGGGGGCGACCAGGCTGGCAGTGGAGGACAGTTGGGGGCGACCAGGCCAGCAGGGGAGGGCTGTTGGGGGTGATCAGGCAGGCAGGAGAGGGCAGTTGGGGGCATTAGGCAGGCAGGCAGGTGAATGTTTAGGAGCCAGTGGTCCTGGATTGTGAGAGGGATGTCCCCGGGATTGGGCCTAAACCGGCGGTCAGACATCCCCCAAGGGGTCCCAGATTGGAGAGCGTGCAGGCTGGGCTGAGGGACCTTCCTCCCCCATGCATGGATTTTGTGCACTGGGCCTCTAGTCCTATATAATAAAGAGGTAATAAGCAAATTAACCCTCACGCCCTCACAAGATGGCTGCCTATGACCAGGCCGGCAGGGGGGTTAGTGAGGGACGACCAAATGACTGAACAGGCAGGCTGCGTGGGGCGACCAGGCCAGCAGGGGTGTTAGTGAGGGATGACCAAATGACTGAACAAGCAGGTTGCATGGGGCAACCAGGCTGGCAGGGGGGTTAGTAAGGGATGACCAAATGACCGAACAGCAGGCTGTGTGGGGCGACCAGGCCGGCAGGGAGGGGGCAGTAGGGGGCGACCTGGCCAGCAGGGGAGGGCAGTTAGGGGCAATCAAGCCGGCACGGAGAGGCAGTGAGGGGTGATCAGGCCAGCACGGGGGTGCAGTTAGGGGCGACCAGGCAGGCAGGCAGGTGAGCGATTATGAGCGAGCAGTCTAGGATTGTGAGAGGGATGTCCAACTGCCGGTTGGGGCCTAAACCGGCAGTCGGACATCCCCTGAGGGGTCCCGGATTGGAGAGGGTGTAGGTTGGGCTGAGGGGACCCCTCTCCCCATGCACAAATTTCATGCACCGGGCCTCTAGTCCTATTTAATAAAAGGCTAATATGCAAATCAACGGAATGACCGAATGAACAGCAGGACGACTGGTCGCTGTGGTGTGCACTGACCACCCGGGGGAAGACACAATGCAGGAGCTGCCCCCTGGTGGTCAGTGCACTCCCACAGGGGGAGCACCGCTCATCCAGTAGCCGGGCTCACGCTGGCGAGTGCAGCGGCGGTGGCGGAATCGTAGGTTTTAGTATAAAGGCAGTGCCCTTCCAGAACGCCGTCTTGAATGTGAAGGAGCTCGGAGGTACAGCATTTCCAGTGTTTCTGTGTCTCCCCTAACTCCCCTCACTCGGTGTTAAGGTGGTCCCTGTGGTTAAAACCTGCTGATTCCTTCTGCTCATAGGTGATCCTTTTACCTTTGCTCTTGAGCATGCATTTCCCAGAAACATCTCCTCGCTATGTGTGTCTGCAAGGCTGACATGCGTTCTAAAGAATATAAACTCTTTCCCTTTGTATGAATTCAAGAACTGTACTGCGAGTGCCATTTCAGAAACTGTGCTCTTTCGTTTTACTTACTAAAAAATGTATTGTTGCCCTAGCTGCTTTGGCTCAGTGGACAGAGCGTTGGTCTGCGGACTGAAGGGTCCTGGGTTCAATTCCAGTCAGGGGCACATGCCCGGGTTGCGGGCTCCATCCCTAGTAGGGGGCGTGCAGGAGGCAGCCGATCAGTGATTCTCTCTCATCATTGATGTTTCTATCTCTCTCTC